CTCATCATGCGGATGGCATTGCGCTGGGCCACTTCGACGGCTTCCCCATTGACGTCGTTCGATGGAGCTGAACCTGGGACGGTGTTGGAGCGAATTCGATCGGGACCCCAACGAACCAAGACCCAAACCATGAACTATATGATTACCAAAATGCACGTGAACCATGTCAACGCGAAGAGCGAAGCCATGGCGATCCGGGCAACCTTCGATAAGCCTAAGAAAATAGGAAATGCCATTAAATGTTTGCAAAAACTCCACAAACGAGAAGAAAACACGAATATTCAGTCTTTTTGAAGCTCAAGCTGTGTCCGTAGTTATTTCAGGGCTGAAAATGGCGTTCACCTCTATAAAAATGATAAATTATCGGTACGACAAGTCTAATCGAAAGTTTTTTCTTTTTTGACAATCGAGATGTCCGCGCGGCCGGCGAGCTAGGGCTCAAACCAGCGGTGATGCCTGACTAGTCCTCGAGGGGGGCTAGCGCAGCATCCCACCGCCACGACCCCCCACTTAAATCACCGATGGGCGAGTTTTGAACCCAGGACCTCTCGTGAAAGGAACTGAGCGCAAACCAACGCGGCCATCGATGGGTGGGTCTAATTGAAAGTTTGGCTACCATTTATTATAAAAAAAAATCAGAGATAATAATATGGATGGTGTTGAGTGATCTTGGATTTCTCTCACCCCAAAAGTTAGCTCAAAGAGTAAGATTTTATAAAAAAAAAATCAGAGATAATAATATGGATGGTGTTGAGTGATCTTGGGTTTCTCTCACCCCAAAAGTTAGCTCAAAGAGTAAGATTTTCCCCTCACACTTATAAACTGATCACATGTCCCTTTCACAACCGATATGGGATAACCCCAATATATAGTTTTTGAATTTTTCTTTAAAATTTAATATGGTTCCTGAACTTTTCTTTTTGCTCAATCTAATTAAAATCCGCTTAATGTTGTTCATTTGTTCTGTTTTGCCCCAAAATAATGAGAGAGAGAGTGGAAGTCACAAGTAAGCCACGCGAATGCTAGCATGATAAATCCAACATAAAGCTAACAAAAATGATAGTCACATTCCCTATACATTTTGGAATTTTTAATAAATTGAGTGAACTTGAAAAGTTTAAGGATTAGATCAAACAGGAAAAAATTCAGGAATCATACTACATAACGAAGAAAAGTTCAAGAATCACTATGTCATTTTCCCAAAGATCTGTATAAATTGGTTGCAATTCAAACACTCGTCCTCTCAAATTAATGTATCTGCTATCGAGAAGTTCCATGAAAGAAAATCTTTGTTACTGCCCATTGTGGATTCATTGGCATCTCGAGGTCCTTGAATCGTCATAAGGAAAGTAAAAACTTACTATGCCCTATAAAAGAGTCACGTACTTGGAAAATAAAAACTTACTGCTCATTTCTAGGAAGAATCTACTGTACCATCTTCCAACTCATGATGCTACTCGATAAATAAACCATTCTAATCTGTGGTGACATCTAGCCACTACCGTACAATTTTCCAACTCTTATCTCCGATTCCTTTTAATTGGGTCTAATATGATTCATGTACGTTTCAAGAGATCACTGCAGCTCTTTTCTCTACTAATTTGTATCTTTAAAACATTACCATAACCATGTCACGTGCCGCTTCAATTTTCTTAGACGGAAAATTTAAGGGCGAGTACTGATGTTCCTCTCGAAGAAATTCGTGAGTAGATTTCGATCGTTTGCAAAGTCGAGGTATTTTTGTCCTGTAGAAATGCGTCGACCTTTCTGTGAACTTTGGCCGGCACTTGAAACCATTTATGTGATTAAGACCGGATTACAAGTTAGATTACCAAAGTTAGACTTTAAAGGACAAAGAAAGGAGAGAAGTAAAATGCTACATATAACATTACCGTGTTTGCGTATGCATTGAACCTCCGAGCCCCATTTAGGACCCTTGAGTCTGCATCTCTCCTTGGCCGCTTCGCACGATTTGCAATCGGGTTCCACCCAGCTCAACCAAATGCTTTCGCTTATGTTCGCCGGATGTTGCCACGACCAAGGGACCGATATCATCGATGGGTAGCACTGGTGCCACAACATCCACGGCTGGGCAAGGTCATAGTCCATAACCAGGACCACCGTGTGGTGCGCCACGCTGAGGCAGTCGAGTCGCGCAACACCACTTTCTGGCCCGATCATGGAGGAATTCACGTACGAGCAGTTTGCGAGAACGGAGTACTTGTAATCTGGGGCTTCAAAGGGTGAGGACGAGCTCATGAACTGGTCCTCCAGAAGCCGTTTCGGGAGGCAATCGTCCAGGTCCTTCACTTGAACGTATTGGTGCACGTAATCAATGGTGTCCATGACGAAGTCCCCTGCTTCAGACAAATGGAGGATCGTTCGGTTTCGGTCGTCACACGAGACTTCGAACCCCTTGTACCCGCAGTCTTCACCTTGGACTTCCCTAATCCGGAACGGGAAGCGAATCTCGGGTCCGCCAGACGAACAATTCATGATCGGACAGACCTCGGCACTAGTGCTTTCGCTGGTTATTACTTGGAGGAAGAGAAGGAAAAACAAGGACAAGGAAGAGAAGATTGTTGAGGAAGCCATGTGAGATCCTTTGAGAAGATCCGACAGTGAGTAAGTGGAGAACACAAGGTTTTTAGTAGTGAGGACTACTAGTGGTATGCTTAGTTTTCTTCTCCAGAGCAAGACGGACGGGGCGATGGAGCTTCCTAAGAAAAGTGTATGCAACCAAAGCGAAAGCACAAGGTCAAAATAGAACATACCAAAGACAATCATTGGCAAAAATAATTATCGAGATCTTCTTAACCTGCGAAAACTACGTCGGTTCAATTAATTCTCTTGAGATCACGATACATTACCTGGCCATCAGTCGTCTCAATTGCCTCATCATTTCTCAAAGTGATTTTAACTGCCTTGGAGTCTCAATTGAATCGAATGTTTGGGAATTAGGAGGTATCAGGAAAAAAAATTAAGAGTGCGTTTATTTCGAGAAAAATGAATGGTTCGAAAAATATTTTTTTTAGAAATGATCGCTTATATTGCTTGAAATAATTAGTCAAGGAAAATGTTTTCATTCTCGATAATAATTTATGTCTGAAATATTTTCGCAAGCAACACAAATATTTTTATTTACTCATTTTTGTAAGCAATACGGGTAATGGTTTTTAGGAAAAAAATTCTGAATCATTCATTTTCCGTCAAACAAACGCGCCTAAGAGGAAAACCGATTATGTGTCACAAATTTCTGAAGTTTATGAAAATGTGATCATGTTGCAAATTCTATAAATACGATCATGTTATTACAGAATCTACTCTCTCTTAGGAGGCAACCAGTCAACTACCAGATATGGTTCTAGGTCTAGAAAACTAACATGTGCAAGGCATAAAAAAATTTGCACTAGCAAGTCGAGCCCAAAAAATAGGGATTGTTTTTCGTGACGGTAAAGCTGGTAAATATTTAAAAAAACTATTAGTAAAAGTATAACCGGTGACTTTAATAATGGTAACTTGTTGGTAACTTAGTGATATTTATAATGAAATTATCAACTTTTTTTTTGGACAATTTGCAACTTACCAATTTCTATACTAACTCTTTAACATTTATTCGCATAACTTACTAACATTTCAAATTTATCAATTCTTATATGAAATTACCAACCTAAATTAGAGTAATTTTGCCAACTTTTTTCGCATTAAATTACCAACTAGTTTTGGATTCTCAACTCTGAGTTATTTGCCATTATTTAATTGATTTTTTTAGTCAACATCTTTTATTTGCCTTAATTTGCGACCCCTTGCATTTACTAACTCTTTTTAGACATTATCAACCTACATTAATGTGTTGACCAAAAAAAAAAAAACCTACATTAATGCATCTCACAAACATTTCTCTACTCACTTAAGTCAGTTTCAAATATTTATTTGGTTTCTTTTATATACCAATTTTTTTTTGGGTTATTTGACTTGGAAAAAAAGTTTGTAAGTAACTCAATTAAAGGTTTATAATTTTATATAATAGTGAGTACATTTAAGATATTGGTAAGAAACGAAAATAAAAGTTGGTTGAATTTTAGCCTTTTTTATCTGTTAGAAATAAGAAAATTTGGTGGTTCCAAGAATAAAAACAAATAAACGTTGGTAACTAACTTAAATAAAAGTTAGTAATGCAATACTGGTTGGTAATTTAATAATGAATGGGTTACCTAATAAGTTTAAGTGAGTCATAAATAGATTATTTTTAAATTTTAAATTTTTAAAAAATTTTGAATTATTATTTTCTTTTCTTTTTTTCTTTTTGTTTCTTTTTTTTTTTTATGAAATCTAACGAAGGTTGACGGACCCTCAACGGTCACAGGTAAGGGCTAGCTGGCCTTTGCCGACACCAAGCTAATGCCGCGAAGCCCTCGCCTATCGCAAACGAGGGTAATGTCCCTCGCCAAATCTGGGCGAAAATCGAGACCCTTGCCCTCGGCCCTCGCTGAACGTAGAAGAAAAAAAAAAAGGTAAAGAAAGAAAGAAAAAGAAAATTGAAAATATAAATATAAAAAATTCAATTTTAAAAAAAATTATAAAAGTTGTCCACTAAATTTGTATTGCACGGAAGTGTTTTAATAATATAATTTTTTTAAAATCATGAGAAACAAGTTGTCTTAAATTGGGTTAAATGCAGAAGTGTCTTAATAATATGAATCGGATCAGATATGAGTCTAGAAACTTGCATTACGAATAAGTAGGTCATAAATAGGTTAATGTGTAATTTGGATCGGACCATTGATCCACCTATTTGACAGGTTTAACGACAGTCTAGTTTTCAAATCAGGTGTAACAGAAGATGGGCAAAGAAAGAGAGAAAACCATCATATGGCCATTCTTTAAGGAACTTGGACATAGGAATCGGGTCGGATCAATGCAAACGATATCAATCCCATTCACAGATCGAGAACAAGATTTATGTTCTATGAGGATTCCAAAATAAAAATCACACCAAAATCTAAAGAACATGAGAATTCTTAAGCCATAGTGATCTGAATATATACAGACGGCAAGCTCCATGCCATCCTAAGTTGATGTCGAAGGCAACGATGACGATCGCGACGCAACCGAAGGTGTGACCAAAGTGGACTCATCTGGCGTATTCCGGCACAATGGGCACGTGGCATTCATCTTAAGCCACTCGTCGATGCAATCCGCATGGAAATAGTGATCGCACTCGGGTATGGTCCGTAACACCTCCTCGGGCTGGTACTCGCACAAGCATATCGGGCAAGTGTTGTCGCTGGGCTTAGGCAAGCGACGGCTCGCACTGAGCAGCGTCTTTGGGTAGGACTCAATGGTCGGCCCGTCGAGTCCCATCATGGCAAAGGACCGGGGGACAACAATCACGGTGGGGAAGTCTGTGTTGGTTTCTTCTCGTCGGTGTCGCCGCCGTATGTAAGTGCTTATCAGGCCGCATACGTAGCCGCCGAGCCCGATGAGGCACAGGAGGGCCGGGATGCCGAGGCCTATGATTATGCCGTACTTGGCACTCCTTGGAAGACCTGAAAAATCCCACTCAAGGTGTGAAATCCTTGGAGCTAACTATGATGCAAGTTCCGATACAGATCATTGCCTTGACTTGTCGGCTCAAAGAATCAGATCAAAGGTTACGATGAATACTCGTGTATGAAGAAGTCAAGCTAAGTTCAAAATGTCAAACCCATGTATCAGGAATTGATCACTTGACAATCGCACCTTGACTTTTGAGATCAAGTACCAAACTTCAAGGAATTTTCACTTTGAGGACTTGAAAAATAATTATTTGCGCATCACGGCCTCTGAAGTCTTAAGTTCAAAATCACGTACCAAGCCATATAAGTCCAATCGCCACGAAGGCGCTGTGCGACGCATACAAACCGGACGACACGGTCCGTGACAATCACGAGCTCATTTTTATCAAAAGGAAAGTGACCTTTCGCCTTCTCTTTCAAATGTTATTTTCTGACCTTATTATAAAAAGAAAGAAAAGAAGAAAAGGCCTCATCCTTTGACCGCGTACTGTCACAACTGTTTCCTTCTCACGTCCTCATTAAATGAAGAATTCTTGTGAACATTGGACTTAAATAACAGTGGTTAAATTCCGGGGAAACTTTATAAAAATGCATAAATTACATGGATTTTCAAGTAGCCGGTGTCCACGTTCCCGTAGCGGATTATTAAAAAGTTTGTGGGTGGACCAGAATTTAGGTAATTTAAGCACGACTTTGATTGTGACAAACTTCATTATGTATGACCAAAGAGAAGAAACTCAAAGAAAAAGTATGACTTTATCAAAGTTTACGACAATCTAACTGCTAGATTTTTAATTACTAAAGTTAGAAAAAAAAAAGTATGCACTTATTGCAAAGTACTCGGGACAAAGTTTTAGCATCATTTTCATTAATTTTACTCGATGGGTACTTAATTATTAGTCTTTTAAGATTGTTATGTTAAGATAAAATTGTGTTCAAATTCGAAGATATTCACATAAAACACTTTAGGAGTAAAAACTAGGACAATGGCATCACCGCAAGATCGTTATGCTTACCGGTGCTCGGAACATTTGTGCAGGCGATCTCCAAACCAGAGCCGTTCCTCAAGCCGCACGTCCCGCCACGCGCCAAGCACGACTTGCAGTCCGGCTCTCGCCATGCGAGCCTCACGTCCTCGTGCAGATCCGACGTGAACTGCCACATCAGCGGCACGCTGACGGTCCCGATCTCGTCGCACGCGTGCGACCCGTGCCCGCCATAGAACTGGCTCTGCACCGACATCACCGTGTAGTCCCCGCCGCTCATGCACTGGATCTCCAGCAGCGTAGGCATCGCCGCCCTCGCCGCCAGCACCGCGTCGCTGGAGCAGTTCACGAGCGTGAAGTTCTTGCGCGACGGAGCCCTGAACGGCGAGCCGTCGAGCTTGAAGTTCAGGAGCCGGCTCGGGAGGCAGTTGCCGCCATCGTTGAGATAGATGGCCTGAGCAGCGTAGTCAATGTTCTGGACGACGAAGCTGCCGGAGAGTGGGAGGGTGAGGATGGTCTGGCGCTGGCTATTGCAAGAGAGGTCGAACCTAGGGTAGCCGCAGCGGCTCTGGTTGAGCCGGAACGGGAACTGTACCGAGAGGCCGCTCCCGCCACACGATGAAGGGCAGTGATGGACGGCTGTTGTCTTCTGAGACAAAACGAAGCTAGGAACAAAGATTAAGAAAAACAGTCCCGAAGCATACATCGTGTTGGGCTTTCTGATGAGACTATACGGAGGAAGTTGATACTTGAACACTTACCTAGAGAGAGAAAATGGTTGGGAAGGCTACATAAACGTCGTACGACTTCAAATACTAACTAATGGCGACGCAAAAAGCGTTTTTTATGGACTAGAATTATGTTTTAATGAATGTTCATTAATCATAATTAGGTGGGGTTCATGTCGTGGCGGGTTTTGATTGGAGAGGGCGAAGAAATGATGAGGGAGTACAGGTGAGTGAAGGACTATGAACAGTGGTCAACCCTGAATGAAAGTGCTTTAAAGGTCGACTGCTGTAGAAATCTTATACATGAGAGAGATTGGACCATGTCCACGGTTTAACTGCAGCGTTGCTTCTAGGACGGGAGATGGAAAGTTCGACGAGCAATGAATGCAGCAAAGTTGATCAAATGTCGCAAAGTGAGAAGGACGTTGCGCGTTCCTGTTCATTCTCAGGGCCCTCCTGTTCTCCGCAGATGGTACGAGAACTAAGGTTCATCATCGAACTGCTGAGGAAGCAACATTCTTTCACAAGGGCCTTGTAGGCTTTCTCCTGACCCTGATCGCTCTGCTGTATCTCTTCCTAGATCGACTGATGTACTGCAGCATAAGCTGCCAGATGCTTTCGCAGCAGGACCTTGCCTTTCCCAATTACGTTTGAGGATATGAAATCTGCTAGGGTCCATGAACCAAGGACATGGAACGTGGCCCTGATGGGTTTTCCTCAAGATTTCTTTACTGGTGCTTGGCCTGTCATTAGGGGTGAGAAACCGGACCTATAGGAACCTAGAACCTGGAATCTGAGAACCGAAACGATAAGAACCTATCCAATTATAGGTTCAAGGTATACAAGGTAGGTTCCAAATTTCAAAAATTTGGGAACTTATTTCGATGGATAGGTTCTAGGTTCTAGATAGGTGGAATCTAAAATCTATGTTTTTTTTTATATATGTCTTTACGTGATCCTACGACATTCCATGACGTCCAATGATGAATATATAATCTAAAACTACTAGTCTAACTTTCCATTTTATGACTGAGACTTTTACTTTATTAATGTTTCATATTTTTATCTGTCTAAATATAAATTGTTGTTAGTAGATTATAACAACAATTGACGATCATAAAAGGTAACGATTTACTGCAATCGTTCAATTAATAATACAAATAAAATTTGGGTAGACTTTGTAACCTATGACATAGTAGATTATAGGTTTCAAGATATACAGGATAAGTTCCAGATTCCAAAAAATTAAGAACATGTTTCAACATATAGATTTTAGGTGAAACTTGTAAAAAAGCTGGAACTTCTCACCTCTACCTGTCATTGGTTTGTGCGGCTGGTGTGTGACTTTTCTACCCCTAGAAGATGTTGAAAAGGAGTGAATGCGACCGTCGTAACTTCTTGCCAAAGGGCCTCAAATGCTGCAGAAATGACTGAATTCTCGAATTTAAGGCCACTGTCGTATGGGGCTTGTAAGAGGGAAATAGTCCTCCCACCGTAACAAGTTTGGAGTGCAATAATTTGACTTGCTTATCCCAAGAAAATAAAAAATCAAAGGTGCTATCATTGTCAGTGAATTCAGAGTCCTGGCACAAATAATCTAATCCTGCAATATTAAGATAATATAGTACAAGAAAGCTAGTTTATGATTTTTGAAGTTTGAAACATAATTTGTGCCTTTCTTCTAAGAGTTGGCACTTTAAAAAAGAAAGTTGGCATACCCAACTTTGACAATTATAACCAGATGACCTTTGATACGAGCATGAACAGCTTCGGATACGACTTGTGTAGTAACGATAACATTTTTTCGTGGGTCCTGTAAGCTAAACAATTCTAAGACATTGCAGAAAAAGAAGTTTGTCTAAGGGTCTGCATAGCAACGTTTCTGTTTCCAGAAATAATTTTTGATCAGAAATAGTTTTTTCTATTTCTATTTCTTGGAACAGTTTCTGAGCAAAAAATAGCGTTTAGTAACTGCACAAAATTTATATTCCTGAAATAGAAAAAGAATAGAAACGCATTTACGGCGCGAATGATCCATTTCTATTCCATGGACAAGTTTCTCCCTTCTGGACTACCGGCGGAGGACAGCGGGTGGCGGTGGGGGGCGGAGGACGGTGGTCGGCGGCGGCAGAGGATGGCAACCGGCGGTGGGAGGCAGTGGAGCACGGCGGTCAACGAGGCGAACCACGGTGGATTTCGGGCGGCGGTGACGGCATGGCGAGGGCGGCGGGAGGTGGGCGCGGTAGAGGGTGGCCATCGTCGGTCAATGGAGTACGGCGACCGGTGGCGAAGGATGGCGGCCGATGGTCGACAAGCATCAAGCGGCGGAGAACAATGGTCGACGACAAGAGGCGTCCGGCGGCCGGAGGCGGCCGCGAGCGGCGGAAGGCCAGGCGGTAGGTGGCGGCGGAGGACGGCGAGAGGCGGCGGTGGGCGGGTTACGGCCGATGGATTGTTTCTTATTTTTGGAGAATTCTAGAAAAAAAATCGTTTCTTTTTACTTGTTCCAAACAAGAAGCAGATTTTTTTCTTCTTGTTCCTGTTCAAATCTATTTCGAAACACTTTTTTGTTCCGAAACAAAAAAATAGATTTTTTTACTAAACGGATTTCTCGTTTTTTGTTTTTGGGAACAAAAGAACAGAAAAACAAAGAAACAGAAACGCTACTAATCAGACCCTAAATCAACCTCCAAAACACGTGGAAACCGCTGGGAGGGGAGACAGTCAAGAATTAAAGGCTTGTTTCAGAACAAATTGACAAGATGCTCTGCTAATTTATCGATTTTTTTGCTACGCTATTCTCATTAGACAGGTTTAGTGGTAGTCATCAAATATGTGAGTATGGATTAGACGCGGAGCACACGTTCGATGGGAAAATTGTTCAAAAATTTCGAAACTTATTGCACTTTGATCAATATAGTCATAAACATTTCAATTTTAATAATTGATTCATAAACATTTTCACGTTTTGCCAATTAAGTCCATCCGGCCAACTTTAGCATGAAATCGTTGACGTAGACGCAGGCCATCCTACATGGACATTTACGTGGCACGATCGGCGTTGAAATGTACAATTTTTATAATTTTTTTGAAATTATGAATTGGTTTATAGTTTTTTTTTTATTTTTTTCTTCTTTTTTCTTTTCTTTTTTCTTTCTTTCTTTCTTTTTTCTTTCCTTACAAGCCCGGCAAGGGCCGCTGGCCAACTTTCCCCACCACACATCAAGCGCAAACCGTTCCTTGTTTAATGCTAATCCGCCCGGGCTCCGATTCGCGTGTCATTTGATCCATGGAGGTGCACTTGTTCGAAGGATTTACCTAAGATGAAACTCCATTTTCATCGAATTCATCTGGTAGAAACCAAGATAAATACCCTCTATTGTCTTACCGTTTTTTCAATAGTATCATTATAATTTCAGTTTTCGAAAAGTAAAACAGATTATATCGAGATAGATGAAGCAAATGAAAAATTTCCTCTAATTGGGTCAACTCGTTGACAACATCCCATAAAAAACCATCGTGGCACCATGGGACAACATTCTTTACATAGCCATCTTTCTCAACTTTGAATTACATTTGAGATACATCACATCTAAATTCTTGGTCTACAGCCCTTCTCTCACGTTAATTGACTTCAGTTTATAAGACGAAGGTGACAGTCTAAAAGGTTTCTACTTGTGCCGGTTCTAGTCTAAAGTTAGAAACGACATGCTTATTCTCGAAAACATTAACGTAGGGAAAAGTGCTAAAAAAGCCCTAAACCTTTTGCATTAGTGCCAATTTAGTCCTAAACCTTTTTTTTATACCAATTCAGTCCTAAACCTTTTGCATTGATGTCAATTTAGTCATAAACCTTTTTTTAGTGTCAATTCAGTCCTAAACCTTTTGCATTGGTTCCAATTCAGTCCTAAACTTTTTGTCTTTGTGTCAATTCAGTCCTTCCGGTCAATTTTGACCGGATTTTGCTGACGTGGATGCCAACCGGCCGGTCACCGGCGCTGACGTTGACAATTTTAATAATATTTTAATATTTTTTTGAAATTTTATTTATTTTTTCTTTTTTTCCCCTCCCCTCCCTCCAGCCAGTCGCCGAACCGGCGACCGGCCAGAGGCTAGAGGCCGGCGCTAGCGAGGCTCGCCCACGCCGGCCACTGGCGAGGGCGGCCTCGCCAGATCCGGCGAGGTCGTGCCTCACCCAGCCGCCAGTGAGGCTCGCCCTCGCCAGCAACAACGAAGGAGAGCGTCGCCATGGCTGGGCGAGGCCCGACCTCATCGGAGCCGTCGGCAAGGCTCGACCTCGCCAGATCATGCGATTTCGGGCCTCGCCCAACCATGACAACACTCGCCTACACCGTCGCTGGCGAGGGCGAGGTCGGGCCTCACCCAGCCATGGCAACGCTCGCCTTCGCCGTCCTTGACGAGGGCGAGCCTCGCCGGCTGCTAGGCGAGGCCCGACGAGGCTCGACCTCGCCGGCAGCTGGGCGAGGCACAACCTCGCCAGTGGCTGGCTTGGGTGAGCCTCGCTGATGCTGACCTCTGGCCGGTCGCTATTCTGGCGACCGGCTGGAGGGAGGGGAGGGGAAAAAAAAGAAAAGAAAATAAATAAATAAAAATTCAAAAAATATTAAAATATTATTAAAGTTGTCCACGTCAGCGCTGGTGACCGGCTGCCGGCCGGTTGGCGTCCATATCAACAAAATCCGACCAAAATTAACCGGAACGATTGAATTGGCACAAAAACAAAAGGTTTAGAACTGAATTGACACCAATGCAAAAGGTTTAGGGCTGAATTGACACTGAAAAAAGGTTTAGGACTAAATTGGCACAAATGCAAAAGGTTTATGACTGAATTGACACCAAAAAAAGGTTTAGGACTAAATTGGCACCAATGCAAAAGGTTTAGGACTTTTTTGGCACTTTTCCCCATTAACGTAAGATGCATGTTGATCGTTAGAATGTAAGACGAAGAAACCATAGTATGCTCAAGAATATCTACCCAGAAATCTCTAAGGCATGAATGACCGAAAATTTTAAAATATATATAATGATAAAAAATATGAAGAAGTCTGAAATTTTTTTTAAAAGAAATTACAATAATCGTCCACATCAGAGCCCGGCTCGGCCCGGCTGTCCTACGCTGCCGGCTATGCCATGTAGGACGTTCGGCGTTACTAAATTGGTAAATCGTCAAAAGGTTTACAACTAAATTGGCCAAATTATAAAGTTTAAGACTGAATCGGCCGGCACAGTAGATTTAGAATTTTTCTGGATAATTTTTCCAATAAAAAAAAATATGTATGAAATATCCGATTCTTTACACACCATACAGTTGACTTTTGATTCCGTGTTCTCTCTCCGATCACTCAGAGAAGAAGCTCCTGCAAGAGCTGGGGACTCCTAAAACCCTAAAAGAGAAAAGCAAAAGAGAAAGTCAAACGTGAGGACACAAATTACAAAGTCAAAGCTAGGGTTCTCCTTAACAAGTCTAATTGCGTCGCTAAGCTCTTGGTCCACCAAAACGGCGCTCGTTCTCACCAGGCTCCGTTCCCCTCCGCAACTATTGGAGGTTTAAACTATCTTGGATGGACTTTGCGACGACAGGGATGACGGCTGCTGAGTCGAACAAATCGCGAGTTCACAAAACGGTTCGTGGACCACATGGGACAGTGATATAACAGTTGAAGTTTCATCGGTGGAGCAATGGTCATATCTTTCGCTTCGAATCAAAGTTTGCATTCATTGACATGCATGACCCTTTTCAGTCGCGTCTTTTCAACAATCTTGCACTTCTGATTACCACTCATTTGGATAGACAAAGCACGGACATGGACATGGACATGGACATGGACCGATCGAGGAGTGCGTAGCTCTCCTATTTGAACACTGATTTGTCCGATTCTTTGGCGTAGAAAAGAGCAAAGATACAGCCAACTCGAGAAAAATAAGCTCACGGGCCTTGTCATCATCTCATTATCACATGCCTTTCATATAGAATCAAGAATCGGTCAGTCAAGATCCCTATTATTCAATAGCCGATGGTGCATGCATGTACCGTTATTCAAAGTTCAAATTAGATAATCTTGTTCTTTTTCAATGGTCCTGGGCAAGATATTGCATATTTATTCAGTGTGACATGATGGCTCTCAAATCATCGTCAAGAGCATGAATTATCTCATGAACCGGATGTACATACCTTAGTGTTCATACGAACAGTTCGTATTTGGTTGACGTCGCACGAAAAGCCAATGGGTTTCGTATAAACAATGGTGCAATCGAACATCGAGTTGAGTTTCAGGTCCCAGTTCCATATAGACCTGACCATCGGGGAGACCGCCAAGCCCAAAATTTTACGTGGCGGGGGGCTTTGGCTGGAAGTCGCCGGCTTGGTCAAGCATCCAGGCTCACCAATCAAAAAGCACGGGCGAGCCAAGCCCAGGCATGTGCACCGCGCATAAGTATGGTATCTTCAACTGTCATGCCAACCCCTTTTTTTTTGTAGAAACAATAAAAATAAATATGTTTGTGCACGGATCTAAAAGTAAACTAGCAAAATTTAAAATAAAAAAAAAACCGACGAATTGCACTATCCAAACAAGGGGGTTTAGAAATTTCGTTTGCCAAACAGATAATTCTCAACAAAAACTCACGGCTGGGCGGGCTGGAAGTTCTGGCCCAAACCCAAAGAACGGGCCGAAAAAAGAACCCCAAGCAAATCAGCCCATTGATGCACAAGAGTTTCGGCCCAAGACCGCTCGGCCCGGCCCGTAACGATCACTTCTATCCCTTCCGCCCCCGTCGTCGGAAGTATCCCAGAAGGCAGGAATTTTCAGAGCGACGGAGAGCGAGACAGAGAGAGATGACCGGAGGAGGCCAAGCGATGAAGCGGATCCCCAGGATCAAGTTCCCTCAGCGGCGTACGAATCCCTCCGGTAACCATCTCGGAATCCTTCTCTCCGGCGGCTTCGTTCGGCTCGCGTCTTTTTGCTTTTCTTTTCTATCCTTTCTCGCCTTCTCTTTTGGCTTCTTCTTCTTCAATCCGGTTGTTTCGTGGCCCCGTCATCATCGCCTGGCGTCGTCGTGAAGTAAACCCCCTTCGGGATTGCTTGACGAAGATGACCTGCGCGCGCGGATTTGTGGGACTCTCTCTGCGTGTGTGGGAATGCGGCGGCGGGTGATTGATTGGCTTCCGTGACGTTGATTGGGTTGATGGGTGCGAGAGCACCGAGCGTGGGAAGCTGTGATGGGTGGTGGGGAAATTGGGTTGGTCTGAGAAGTGGGTAGATGCTTGATTGAAGCGGACGGGTTCTGTGATTGCTTGATTATATAGTCAAACTGCTTGGGATCGGATGAAGCTGCGGTTCCTTGATGAAATGGCTTAGCTCGAAGAATGAAATGGAAATAGTTGGAGAGCTCGTTGCAGTATGGAAGGATTGCGGTTGTCTTAGGTTCTCTGATGCTGGAGGCAAGTCATTTGTTACGTGAGTAGGGGGTGCTGCTGAAAGCTGGGTTGTGTGGCCAACTGGTTTTTACGTGGCTAGATCTTTGTTGGTGCTTAGGAGGCAGCCTCTGTGTGCAAAATCTTAATTAGACAAAGTCATCTTAGGATTCTGCCTCTCCCATAATGCCCGAGCGCTAGCTTTTTGCTCCTCAGAAATCCCAAGTTTTTTAACCTGCATCGGTCTTTCTTGAGCTGTTGTGCTTTAAGTGTATGTTGCATGTAAGTATTGGTCACTCAAGCATTTTATGTGGAATGACGATCTGGCTTGTGTCTTTACATGGAGTCATTTTTGCGTAAGGGTAGTAAATCACGCGCTCCCGCATCTTTTTCTTTACTTAATGCATCAAGGTTTTCCTGGGGATAGTTTTTCTTTGATAAATTGTTCGTTGTGTCTTTTTCTTGGTCGGTATGTACTAGTAAGTCCAGATACATGCTGCCTATCTACTGCCCTTTCCAATGCTTCTTCAACCTCCATCCTATTGTCTTGTTGGAAGCACCATGTTGGCATATTTTCATTGATATTGATGCTCCCACTTGCAGCTCAATTTCTGCTGGCATTTGACTGCTTCAACAGTCCGTATAATCATAACCATCTTACTCGTTAGGAAAATTATGACTTTCTTCCCTGTACTTTCACGGTTTTTCTAATCAAGTTCCCGTACTTTTGACTTGTCTAATCATGTCTTTCTACTTTCACAGCTTTTCTAATCCAGTCCATCCTACATCAAATTGGAACAAATTCAGCTGACATGGCTATAGGACGACATGAAAGTATAACGCTGATAAATTATGCAGAGTACGATGTGGATAAAATTCAGCCAATATGGACGCCTTCGTGGACCCACATTGGAAAACTTTTGTCCATGTCACACTATGACGTCGTCCAACAGCCACGTTAGCTGAATTTGGCAATAATTAGTGTCGGAGGGACATGATTAGGAAAATAGTGAAAGTAGAAGGACTTGATTAGACAAATTAAAAGTACAAAGACTTGATTAGAAAAGACGTGAAAGTATTGGAACAACAAGTAGATTTTTCCTACTCCTTACAATAGTACATTAAACTTATCGAACATTTGACATGTTGAAGATACATATTAATGTGCAAAACTCCCATTTCCACCTTAAATTCAGTCTCAGTTTTAGTTGTCTAAAGTTTATGGCTGATTTTATGGCTCAAGATGTGTTGTTCCTGCATGTGTAGCCTTTTGTGTGGATGCTTTTAGTCTGTTTTATGCCGTGGTTACGTTGTGACATCTATCAGATCGTGGTTTGTCGATGCTATTTTTAAATCCTTGTATGAATGCATCACACTTCAAATGTTCCAGTCTGAAATGCAGCCCTGCTTACCTGTGTCCTTGTACATCAACAGACTTTTGGTTTCTTTTCTGTCAATAATTTTAAGCATTATTCATGGAGAATGACTAAACATTATTTATTGACCTCTAGGATTCTAATAAATTGCAGGTACGGTATCCCAGCCTAAATCTACATCTGCTGCTCCCCCTGTTCAAACATTCTTTGCAAATTCAAAGGTTTCAACATCTACGGGAGGAAAGGCCTCACTTCAGCCCAAACGAACAGCTGTGTCCCAGGAGGAGATTGATGCTATATTGGTCAGTCAAATTCTTTTTCTCCTCAGAACCTGACATTTTCGTTACCTTTCAAGTGATCTATCTCATCTTTAGCTGCATCAATCACCATAAATGGAAAGAAACAATGAGAAGAAACAGGGACACATTAGTTAGCGGTCTTCTCTTGAGGAATCAAATCAAAACTTAGTGAGGTACAAATTGCAGCTGATGAAAATGTTCTTCAGGCGATTGATTGTGAAAATGTACTACAAGTTCCTTTGCTGAAATCGATGAATAGAGAAAGAACGGTACCTATTTTGCTTTTGTAGAGGCATTTAGGAAATAGCAAGGCTTCTTGGGAAAGTTGTGTTAACATGGCGTGGATGCATTATTCATAAAAGTTTGGCGAACTTACTACTTAGATACTGAAGTAGAGAACAAATTTTGCAACGCATTCTTATTTGTTCAATTGTGAATAGTAGGATGGAATGTCTTGTTTTCCATCTTCATGCTCTGACAGTGGACTGCTCCGTTTTTTAAGTAATTCCAAATCATAATATTTCAAGTTGAAAAAGAAGTTCTTAAGTTACATAGCATCTTGTTCACTGAGAGCTGCATATAGCTATTATTACCTGCTCTAATTGTAAAGTGGTGCCTGAAAATGACTCCCATGTTATAGTCAAAAGTTTTTGTGGCAAACCTTACCAGGCCAAAAAGAGTGAGCAAATCCCATAAAAAGCAAGTAAAGACATTGTGTTCTCTGGATTGAAAAGAGAAGCAAAGTGATTGAATACTTGCCCTTTTGAATTTGTCATGTTAAATGCAACTCCTGTTTTCTGGTCCAACTGGAAGTGCGTTACGGTTTTTCATCATCCGCACATCTTCATGTACCGCGACCAGATTTCTCACATCCTATTTAAGAAGCAACATAATTTGATTCCTTCAATCTTTTTCTTTAATGATTGGGTGGTTGATAAGAAGTTTCTTGGAATGCCTTTTTGGCAGTTGGGTGGCTGCTTCTGATTGCAGAATGGAGCTGCTAGAGAGGTGCTGATGTTGCTGGAATTTCATTCTTGACGATTTATGCGTTATCTTGTACTTTCTTTTGGTTGGTGATCTATCCTGTACTTGCAATTTCTATTGTTTGTGATTTCTAGATCACCCAGTAGCAATTTCGAATGTGGACACAATATAGATGAATGACTTGAAAATTCATTGTATTTGCGTCGAAATTTGTATACGCCCATCATGCATAATGTTTGTCCCGGTCTATGCAATTGGGTTCCTCAACAGTCCAGTGATGTGCTCATCAGCTGAATGATTGAATAATCATCATTCATCAAAGACCTTGAAAACCAATTTTTCTAACTCTAGGCATGATGTTTGGGGACACTCGGAGACAGACATATTTCCAAGTTTGAACCTTTTAAGTACTAAATCATATTCTCAGTAATATGCATACATACTCAAGCAGAGATGCTAAAGAACATGAATTCAAGGTTTGTTCTGAATGAGATTCTCCAACATCACAGACCTAGGACTGTTCATGGGAGGTCCTTTCTCTCTCCTCTCCAGCTCGTCCAAATTGAAAGTTATCAACCGATCCCAATTCCCTCCTTCAAACAACACCCCAGCTTTTCCATCGGTGATCCTCTGCACGATCCCGCAGTACATGTAGTACGGGTTGTTTGGGTTCTTCACGAGCGCAATCATTCCGGGCATCAGAAGCGGCAGCTCCGGTGCCTTCGGCTTCTTCAAGCTTGGCACTGCCGCTGAACTCATCTTCTCGGCCGATTTCTTCGGCGGTGGTGGATTCTTCTCAATGAAAGACTGCAGTCCCTTCTCACCGCCGGGGAATCCTCCAGTCAACCCCATGAGTTCCTTCTCGAATGCATCTTCAGAGACGCTCTCCGCCGCAGATACCGCATCTCCGGCGAGCTTTCCACCGTCCGAAGACGGAGACGGCTCTTCAATTCCCGCGGGCTTCTCAACATCAGACGACGGGGACGGTTCTCCAACGGTTCGCTTGAGCTCTTGCTCAATGCCCTTCTCGCCATTGCAGAGGCCTCGCCCGCCGAGTATCTCAGAGAGGTCAAACTTAGCAGCGCACGGTCTCGAGTGGATCGTCGACCGGCCGTGCTTCGGAAATGTGGCAGACGGCTTGCGGAGGCGGGCGGCGCTGCCGCCAAGGAATGCGGACCTGAGGGAAGGAGGGTGGAGGTTGGGGAGAGTGGAAGCCATGGTTGATGGCCGAGTAGGGGAGTTGATGTCCTTTAAATCCTGGCCACAAGAGTGTGCCTATGTTGATTGGATAATTTTTTGTGGAGTATGGGAAAAGACCCACCGGTACAGGAGCCCCACGAGTACAAAGCAGAAGTGGTACGTTGGAATTTGGATTGCGGGCTTCTTGTACTGGTGGTTTTTGGACACGCTTCTGTTCTGCATGGGCCGACAGGTTGGATTACGGGTTGACCCGATTATGGAAAAATTTCGATTGGAGATGATTGAATGAATTAGGCCAGTTGCTTTCGAGAAAAAATGGTTTTGAAGTTCGAAATGGGAAACGGTGGAGATATATTCTAATGCACTAACCTACATTTTTATCAAGCAGATTTTCGTGGAGTACCTACCTCAGGAAAAGTATAAAAAAGTCATAAACCCATTGAATTTCTACCAATTCGATTATAAACCTTTCAATAAAACCAATTTAGTCATAAACCTTTTCACATTGGGGAAAATTGTCTAAAAAGTCATAAACATATTGTACTTTTATAAATTCAATACTAAACTTTTTAAGTTTGCCAATTCAATTATAAACCTTTTGCATTTGTATCAACTCACTCCATCAAGTCAATTTTGACCGACCGGAGCTGACGTGGACGCTGGCCGGCGCCGATCGTCTGGTCAACACCGATGTGGCAATTTGTTAATATTATAATATATTTTTTAATTTTATTTTTTTGTATTTTTTTCTTCCGAGCTTCTTTCCGACTAGAGGCAACTTCGCCGGCCTTTAGCAAAGCTCGCCCCCACTAGCCACTGCTGAGGGCAAGCCTCGTCGGCTCCTAGCTGGGCAAGGTTGAACCTTGCCGTCGCTTAGGTCTCCCGGCGAGGTTGGGCTCACCAAATGTGGGTAAGGCCAGGGGCGGATGAGGCTCACCCTCACCAATGGTCACCGCCCACTGGCGAGGGCAAGCTTTGCCAAAAGGGCCCTTGCCTTTGGCCAGTCCGGCGACCGATCAGAGAGAAGAAGCCAGAAAAAAAATAAAAAATATTTTAAAAAATTTCACGTTAGCATTAGCCGAATGCCCAGCGTTCATGTCAGCTCCAAGCGGGCAAAATGGCCGGATGGATTCAATTGGCAAGAAGTAAAAAGATTTATGATTCAATTGGCAAACTTGAAAGGTTTATGACTAAATTGGTAAAAGTGCAATAGGTTTATGATATTTTTGACAATTTTCCCTTTTCCATCAGTACTAATTCAGTCTATATGCCCAATTTAGGCTGGAAATTACCGATGTGGGTGCTAACCGTCCTTTATGGTATGGCTGGGTCCTATGTGGCATTGCCGACGCTGACTTGGACATCATTTTAATAACATTTGAATAATTAAAAAAAATATCAAAATTATGGCATTTGAAAACAATTAGGGTCATTCCGATCTCTCTCACAAAGCACTTCGATTCTTTTTCGTCTTCCTCTTCATTGAGCACTCTCCTTCATTGTCATCTTCATCTTCGTGACTAGGCATCAGAACTTGTTCGAGCACGCTTTCCTAAATGTCTTAAAATTAGGGCTAATTGAAGAAATAAATAGAGAGTTATGAATTTCCACATTGATTTGCTATGTCAACTGAGTTATTACCATGTGTCATCCAGCTCAACAATTTCACGGTAAAATTTGACGGAAACTAACATAGTGTAAATTTGTCATCGGTGTACTAGTCTGAGATTTTTGGTAACACAAAAATTAGTTCAAAGTAAATATGTCACGTGTACCAGTTTAGAATTTTTGGTGACCCAAATATCAGTTTTGGAATAAATTTTTCACAAATGTACCAGTTTAAGGTTTTTCATGGTATTAACCTAAGAAATTATTTCGATTATTAAAAGTAGATCACAAGACACTTAACATTTTCATGTATTTAGTCTCTATATAATTCAAAACAATTAATTAACAAAGAAAAATATTAAGACGTATATTATATAATCAATAACGACAGTAACTTTTCAATCCACGGTTTGGAAGATCGTTATCCCCGAAGCGCGCGCACGTAATCCTCGGCTCCTCCGAATCCCCAGACCGGGGCAGCAACCCCCAAACCGTGTCGGCCTCGGTTTTCGGGGCGGGGAGGACGAGGAAAACAGCCCGACCGGGGGCATTCCGGTCATTTCCCCACCCGCCAATAGGAAAACCCGCCCAGGTAAAACTGCCTCTGTAGCCTTTGTACCGACCAGTCTCCATCTGCGTCGCTGCTCTCTCTCGTCACTTTCTCGCGGTTGGTCAATCCGCTTTCCCGTAAAAACATCAAGAACCCACCCACCGTCACTTTCCTCCTCGGTTCCTTCCTCCCAGCTCCCCTTCCGCCGCCGTGAAAAGGGGTCTCTTTCAAGGTCGTACGGTATTCCTCCTTATCCCCTCCCGCGCTCTCTCTGTTTGCTCTCTCCGTTTTCTTGCTTCTGATTGAATTTTGCTGCTTTGCGTGAGGGATGCTGGCTTTCGTTTAGTCCTGCTTAAAGTCTTTCTTACGGATCACGTTTTCCGCCAGCTCCGTTTCATGCCGGGGAAGGCGGTATCGATTGGCGCTCCTGTCGATCTAGGGGGGGGTTTTCGAGGGTGTGCTGCGATTGATCCCCGGTTGAGTTGATACTGATTGATCTGCGGGTCTTGTTGGAGCTGTGGACTTCGTGGGGGGGGAATCTGCTGATGTTCCTGTGAGTTTGTCGATCGCGCCCTTCTTTCTGTATCTCGTGATTTGCGCTCTGCTTTAATCAAGATGTGCGCTTTCTGATGAGCTGTGTTTGGTCTGGTAGTTGAGTTCATGTTTCCCTTGAAGTTTCCTCTTTTAATTATTGGCGTATTAGTTTGGTGGGTTTACTTTCGTCGAAGCGATTTGACTGATTTGGTGTCGTGCCGAGTGTATCTTGGTTCCCGGGACGAGGATTTGCGTGCTTTTCTCATTACTCGGTTCTTGAAACTCTGTTCTGGTGATAAGGGATCGCGTGGAACTTGCTTCGTTGTTGTGCCTTGCTTAATTGTCCGATGGGCAATGACAATGTAGGATTGTGGGTCAGAAAAGAAATATACTGATACGGTTGATGCATAGATTGCAGAAGTTTTGGTGTTTTCGATGATCGAAAGAATTAGATCAAACTGGTGGATGCAGAAACTCAGATTATGGAGCGGGGGAGGGAGATTAAAACCTTCGGATATCTTCGTGCTTTTCTTCCCTCCTTTCTTAGCTTTTGCGGCCAGTTGAGAGGAGGAGGGTGGGTTTGAAGCAGAGAAATATCACCTGAGATTTCACAAATTGTAGAACCTAGTACTGCGGGGGCGACGGCCCTGCCAGCTGCCCTTTGGGTCCATCAGTGAACATGATGATAGCTTATTGGGTTGATTATCTGCAAACCTATATTGGATAACTTTATTAGAAAGAATTCCAGCATCAGAACTATCAGTGAATGCCGCTGAAGTTGCAGTATGATCCGTATTAAGTCAAAGCAGATTAATACTCGACCTTGGCTCAGGGCAATAATGCACGGCTAGATACTCGAGCTTGATCTAGCTTGATTTCTCACGCAACTCATGTGACTCATGTACGTCCTAAGAGGGGGGATTGGTGATTTTCAAGGTTAATGCTAGAAATGATAATGACAGATCTCGTGTTCAGAAAGTGTGGGGTACTTAAGTTTAACTAGTAGAAACAGACCCCAGTCCACAACACATAAAAGACTTGGTATTTGAACCAAATCAAATGGTATAAAAGCTTACAAAGCTGCCAGTTCTCCAAATAGTTCTTGAGGTTTTGACACAGTGAACAACTTGGTATTGATGGGAGGCGTAGATCAAAGGGTTAACTTTGATAAATTCTGGTTTTCTGGGAATATTTTTAGAACACAAGTTTCTGAAGGAAAATCCTAAATTGAGGTAATTTGCAAAGAGGTTCAAGGAAATGAGACTACCTTACTAAACCTTAAAGGATAAATCTAGTTTTTGGGTACAACATGGTGCTACACATTCAAATGCCTCAGTCCCTTGGAATCTGCTTTTCTCAACTCCTCATTCATCACATCCACATAAGTGTTTTTGCTGAAGTGAAGAGTCAACAATGTGGTTTTAGTTGAGCTATTGGCAGTTTAGAGCAAAGTAGGACATGGCTTATCCCCTGTTACAGGACTTCTCTCATTTTGCATGTTATCTTCTGGTTCAGGTCGTCTGGACTTTACCTTATTGTGGAAATATCTGATGCTTGATGGATGATGCTATCGGGAAAATAAAGGTTATCCCAGATTATTTCCAGCCGTCAACAAGTGAAGACTCTTCTCCTCCAAACAAACCTTCAGTCAAATCGCCGTCAAGGACGGAAAATTGTTTGAGGTACATCCTTTTAAATCAGAACAGGAAAAGAATTTGGAAAAAAGAAAAGGTTGTAATCTGTTCGGTTTAGTTTCAGCCTTCTTATTCTGATTTAGCATAGGTCCGACAGCTATTTTTGGCCAAAGAAACGTTATAGAAGTGCGGGTTTCATGTTGAACTTGTTGAATCTAAAGGGCCTGCCATGGGGATCTGGTGCAGATGGTCAGGAAAAGGTTGGTACATGAGTTCTTACCTGGGTAGGCAGTTAGCAATTATGAAGAACCCAAATTTCACTGGCAACTGTATTTGCAGGTTGAGCTAACTGCTGCTGAACTTGAATCACTTAGAACACAACTCGCCGATCTAGAAGAGAGGGAGGCCCACTTGAAAGCACAGTAAGGCGAACCAAACTTAGACTTTCGCCGTTTCGTTGTTCTCTATGTCATGACCATTGTATTGTATTTTCTTCTAAATCATCATCATGTTCTCAACTTCACCCCACTAAGTCATGCATAAATGCAGGCATAAGCAGTTCATTGTGTTGCACTTCTGGAAGCAAGAAATTAAACATTCCTCAATACTTATAATAATTTAGTCTGTGACGAAGATTTCTTCTCTGTTACACAGGTTGGAACAAGTAGATGAGATATTACGGTCTGCTCGTCTGTCCGGCTACCTGCACATTAGAACTGTACTAACAACTCCCAGCAT